AATGACAGAATTTAATTCTCTGATTGCAGATTGCCTCACTATCCATTCACATCCACTTTCAACAAAAGCATCTCAAGGTCAGATTGGATGGGGCATTAGGCAACCTGGTCTAGTTGTGGGGTGCCCGTGCCCATGTCATGGGTTTGGAACTAGATGACCTTTTATAAGGCCCCTTCCAACCCAAACCATTCTATGATCAATGAATTTTTACAGACTTTGTGGAAAGGAAATGAGAAGCCTGATATTGATTAGCTTTCAAAAACCTCATATATAATGATTAAAACAGAATTGTAGTAAATAAAGATCATATAACTCTTCAGGACATTTAAAAAGGGAAATTTGAACATTTGTTTGTTTTTTTTTTTTTGCTTCCTCATTGTGCTAACCTGAAAATACTGTCTGATTTCACTTTTGATCACTTGTGATGACTGAAATAAAATGAAGAGGTGTGTATTTTATGTCATTTCTAACAGATGTTTATCCAAGTTTCATGACAGAAGTACTAGAGGTTCCACAACTATCATAGGCATTGAATTTCAGGTTAACCTCTTTTTCTACAACTCAATACTTTCAGTTTCATCAACTTTAACATCTTTTTTAAATATTTCCAGTATAATGCAGAATCTGAAATACTAAAATTCAGTTACATGTCTAGAGAGCATAGTATGCCCTGTAACTCTGAATAGGAAGCAGTGGACATTTCATCGCAGTGCCTACTGTCCACTGTATCACTCTGGAACTCCTCTTAGCTGGGCAGAGTGGAATGAAGTGAGGAGAAGGATTAGCTACCTCTGTGTTGCAGTGGTCTGGCACTACTTAGCAACTCTGCTAAAAGCAGTGAAGTTTTGCAAACTTTTGCTACCTATCTCTAAAGCTGATGTGTGTTGGTGTGTGATTATTTCCTTCAGTATCAAGTCTCTGATATGCTTTCAGGGGAAGTGTGATGTCTGCATCAAGGTTTACTTTTCATTAGCTAATCCATTTATATTTTTAAAAACCTGGCTCTTGAGCTTAATACATACTGCAAGCAATCTAACACATCTGTTAAAAAACAAACTTTGCCTGCCTTAGGCTTATATGGAAATTTTTATCTGTTCAGTTCATTAATGCTTGACAAGAAACATCCATTTTAAGATAATGTTTTGAACTCTGACAAGATTTGCAAAACAAATTACTGCTCTCCCTAGTGCATCTTGGGTAACATGTCTTTGGAAATTGGTGATTTAATATAAGGAAAAACGTGACCACTAACCTTACAAAATTCTATTGTCTAAAGAATTTCAGTATTTTATGCTTGAAACATTGTCATAGGTTGTCTATAAAACTAATTATAGTTTCAAGATATAGAGGATCTTCATTATTATTAGTAGAATTCTGAAACCTTTTTAAAATCTGAAGTATTTATTGACAGTAAAGCAGGGAGCTTTTTATTGTATTGCATCTCAACATGTTATCTTTGTGGCTTTTAATGTTTTCAGTATTTTAGAATATGTAGGCCATATAACTTATTTTCATGATGCTCATGTTTACTGTATGCTTTAAGGGCAAAACTATCTTAATTCATTTCACATGTCTAGCATGTGGCTCAAATCCAGCTGAAATCTCTGCATTATCTTCAGGCTGTCCCTGTGTTGTATGTTTTGGTGACTTCTATGATAATCTCATGCTCTCAGCATTATTTTTGTGACAGTTGTCCTCTTCCTTAAAGCAAGTATCTTGACTGAGATTGAACTTTATGCTGTTGCGATAGAGAAATTTAGATTAAGCATTCCAGAGTTACCAATGGAGGGTTGCTGCAGGTGATTTTTCCTCCTAAAATTTGACAGTGATCAGCATCTTGGTAGCAAGTTCTGTGTTTCCTGTGCAAAATCCACAAATTAAATGCATCTTTTTGTTTTCTTTGTACTTTCATTCTGATGGATATTGTAGAGTTCCCACTGTTTCCTGCAGTGGCCACTAATGATTTTGTAGAAAATTTTGGTAGCTGCTCTCCTGTCATTTGTCTCTCAGTATTCTACTTTTCTTTTTCCTCTCTGTATTCAATTCATAGTAATTTTTATCATTCAGGTATGCTTTGTCAACTGCTAATCTGATGTCTTCCCAGACCTGATTTCTAAGATTCCCATATTTTACTTCTGAGGGGTAGTGATGATGTCAGAACACACTGCTTTAATGTAGATGCCTTTTTTTTTTTCCAATGTACATCACTGTACGTACAGTGATACTGAATTTCTTCTACCATTTCCACACCTGTTAGTAAGCTTCTGTGGTTCTCTGGCTCATCTTGGTATCACTTAAGGAACAGCTAGCGGCCTAGGGCAGCTTGTGATAACACTAGTGATATCCTGCTGCTGGGGAAATGGAATAGGTCTTCTGTGTCTCACCTTTTAGGCAATCGCTTATTCCGTGTCCCAGAAATACTTAGTTTCTCTAGTAGCCTTTTGTGATGGACCTTGTTGAATTCCCATTGAGATATAATGTGATGACACCCCTCTAGTCCTCTACTACCACTTGGGATTTTTCCTTCAGAAATAATGAAGTAATGAGATGGAAATGTTATCATGATTTGGAAGTTTGAGTCTTGAGCTTATCCAGTGGAGAAGATTTTGATATTGATACTATGTTGTACTGCTGCGTTCTGTGGAGGACAGAAATGCGATTATTTAAATATCTTTTGAAGTTAGTTAAAATCTAAAGCACAGTTCAGAGTTAGTCTTGGTGTAAAAGAACTGTAATTTCTATTAAAAATAGAATAGGATGGTAAGAATGAAAAACAAAGTTAAATACACCTTCCTCTCATCGCCCCCATCTTCCTCAGTTTCTCTTCTCCATGCCCAACTTTCTACCTTCAGTGTTACATTCAGAAGTAAGTTGTTTTAGAGTAACTGTGTTTTGACATTTGCGAATTCATCTAGATAAGCGATTTTCAATCTCGTTAGGGAGCAGGAATAAAGAAAGATAGCTGTTAAATAAACCATCTAGAAGGGAATTCTGCCTGCTAATACATCTTGTCATTCTCATGCGTTTTTATGCATTCTTATACAATATTATTTTTTCCTATTGGCTTTTTCTTCCTGCTCATATCACTAGTTTTTTCCATTTTTTTTTTCAAAAAATAGTTTGACCTCTTTATTAGCAGCCAATAGCATTTGACTTTCAGAGTATTTCATTCAGTCTCTTTCTCTGGTAGGTACAAAGATAAGAGCTGTAAAATCAGATTTAGGCATGAATGTGTGAGTTTCTATCAAGAAGAAAATACTTGTTTCTCAAAGTCTGGAGAGGTGTTTGAATTTCAGCAAAATGATGTAGAACTGAAGTTTTTATTCCATGAGAATTGTAAAAAAAAAAAAAAAAAAATCTGAAGCAAACTTTCTGCCCATATTTCTGAATTAAACAGTGGGGTTGGATCGGGGTTCTAGAGTGGGGTTTTGGGTTTTTTTGTCATGCTGACAGCTCATACAGAACCACAGACAGCTATGCAAGCTGCATAAAGGGACCCCAGAAGCCCAAGAGGCGGATTTGTAGAGAATTTGGTTAATCACTTCACTCCTTCAAAATAATATTTTTGAGGGGTGAATATTCTCAGCTAGTTGCCATTGTGAACTCTGCATTACAAAAAAAAAGAAATTAATAGTATATAAAGTTTTTATTTTCATAAAGTAAGCTGTCTGAAAATCTTATGCTAGGGAGATAATGAAGAACTGATGCAAATCTCATGCCAAAATTACTGCTTTGGTTTATAATCAATCCAACAACTTCTCTAGGGAAGCAGCATTGCTTAGTGGAGACAGTCCTCCTGGGAGACCTAGCAGCCCTTTATTGCCTTCCAAGACTCCTTCTGGAAGTTGCATGCATTCCTTATATTACAGATTCACCATACAGATTTACTGTTGAACCCTTGAACTTGTTCATGAACAAGTATGCAGTGTAACATTATATCATTGAAATAACTTACGTATTTATGTACTACATAACAAGGTAGTTGAACAAGAATTTGTTAAAACATTATATTCCACCATGAAATCTGTATTTACTTACAATACCTGATCTTTCCAATAACTGCAGCGTTATGTTTGTATACTATCCTAAGAATATTTTTTTAAGTAACAGTTTTCTCTCTTTTTATATGCAGATTTTCAGCTTTCAGCATAATCTCAATCAGAACATAATGTGCTATATGTAAAGGTGTAGAATCTTCTCTTTCAAGCATTGTGGAAGTCTTGGAAAAGTAATTTCTGTATGAAAGGAAGCCAAAGACTTTTGTTCATTTTCTTTTTCTTTCTGAAAAGTTGTGCGGAATATGTAGATCAAAACAGTCCCTGGCAGTTTTTTCAGATTAATTTTGAAATAGCACAGTTATTACTAGTGGTTTTTAGCAGTTTAGTTCTCAGTTATTTTATAACCTATAGGTTTTTTTACTCTAACAGGTGTTATTCTGGTCTTGACCAACATTCAAATCAAAAATTCTTTTAACTCTTTCTTAACAACAGCCTTCTCTATGGAAGACAATTTTTGTATGTCACATTGAGATAAATGGACAGTTCATATTTAATATAACATGGCAAGAGTATACAGTTCTAAAAACCTCCTTTCTTACTCTAGAGTTGGGGCCATGGGTAGGGAAATGGCACCAATTCTATCAGCTGCAGAGATAAGTAGTTAATCATGTTGTTGAAAAGATCTGTTTTTTTCTTTGACTTGATTCTGGGTTTAATGTTTGTTAGTTTTACCTTCAGATCCTTTGGTAAATGGCTTTCTAAGCTAATCTAGGCAACACAATTGCCTGCTCCCCTTGAATGCCAGTAAGAGCACTCTAATATTTGGTATTATAACCTTAGCAAAGATATTTATGTCTCTGACAATCCTTTTTGTTCCTTTTAGGATAGGAGCTTAAATATGATGATAAATCTTCTCAAGGAATTTCACTAAAAATATCAACATTTCAAAAATCTCAGTACAACCGACAAGCCTAAGTATATTTACCTTCTCTTGTTTTCTAGTAAATAACCAGTGGAGCTGGACAACTTGGCAGCAAACTCTTTGGCTTTCCTGATTCTACCTGTGGAGCCTGGTTTGCAAGGTAAAGGTTCAATTTTAATTAACTGTAATTTTATACTGTTATTGTTTACAATGAATAAATATAATACTTGTAGATTTTCAGAGAGTTATGGTCAATGGGGCAGAATCTAGCTGGAGGTCTGTGACTAGTGGAGTACCTCAGGGGTCGGTGCTGGGACCAGTGCTGTTCAATATTTTCATCAACAACCTGGATGAGGGAACTGAGTGTACCCTCAGCAAGTTCGCTGATGATACTAAACTGGGAGGAGTGGCTGACACACCAGAAGGCTGTGCTGCCATTCAGCGAGACCTGGACAGGCTGGAGAGTTGGGCAGGGAGAAACTTGATGAAATTCAACAAGGGCAGGTGTAGAGTCTTGCATCTGGGGAAGAACAACCCTATGTACCAGTACAGGTTGGGGGTTGACCTGCTGGAAGGTAGTGAAGGAAAAGGGATCTGGGGGTCCTGGTGGATAAGAGGATGACCATGAGCCAGCAATGTGCCTTTGTGGCCAAGGCCAATGGCATCCTAGGGTGTATTAGAAAGGGTGTGGTAGGTCAAGAGAGGTTTTCCTCCTCCTCTACTCTGCCTTGGTGAGGCCGCATCTGGAATATTGTGTCCAGTTCTGGGCCCCTCAGTTCAAGAAGGACAGGGAATTGCTTGAAAAAGTCCAGCGCAGAGCCACAAAGATGATTAAGGGAGTGGAACATCTCCCTTATGAGGAGAGGCTGAGGGAGCTGGGTCTCTTTAGCTTGGAGAAGAGGAGACTGAGGGGTGACCTCATCAGTGTTTACAAATATGTAAAGGGTGAGTGTCAGGATGATGGAGCTAGGTTTTTTTCAGTGATGTCCAGTGATAGGACAAGGGGCAATGGGTGTAAACTGGAGCATAGGAGGTTCCATGTGAACATCAGGAAAAACTTCTTTACTGTGAGAGTGACAGAGCACTGGAACAGGTTGCCCAGGGGGGTTGTGGAGTCTTCTACGTTGGAGATATTCAAGGCCCGCCTGGACAAGTTCCTGTGTGATGTACTGTAGGTTACCCTGCTCTTGCAGGGGGATTGGACTAGATGACCTTTTGAGGTCCCTTCCAACCCTTGGGATTCTGTGATTCTGTGATTGTAAAGAAAATACCCTCCTTAGTGTGTCATCTACACTTTTAACAATGAATTGTATTAGAATGCTCTCACAGTTTAAAATAAATGCAATGAGACGTCTTGCATTCATTAACAAGCACACTTTTCTCTCAGGAAGAAAGGAAAAGGATGACCAGATCTAGGTAATTTGTGAGTTTCTGTTCCTATATTTCCATCAATCTGAGTGAAGGAACAGTTAAGCTGGACATGAAGATTTAAGTCTGAATGTGAATGCATTTGTTACGGCAAGATGTATTCTCTGTGTTTTGTGTTTATCGATGATTTTGTGTTTATTAAAAGGGATATATAAGGTGATTCTGGAGATGTACCTGGCTATGTATGACAGTCTTTATTACTGTACAGTTTTTAAAATGAGAAGTTCTTATTCCTGCTCTTAAACATAGTTCTTAAGAGCGATATTGGAAAGGTAGTGATGTTAAATATTTGGAAAATTTAGGGTTTTTGAGTTTAAAAATACCCCAGGGAAACCATCTTGTTGTGATAATTGATTTTGTTACCATTGAAGACTGCTGGTTCTGCCAAGAAAAATATGTCCCTGAATACCTTCTTCAGTTTCAGTTAAGGGTGTAGGCTTAACATTACTCTCTCCTTTGAGACGTTGTTCCACCCCTGGATTTTATGTTTGAAGTTCTCTGCATGAAAGAACATTTCTGTCTGAATCTTTCTGCAGTTAAAGCTAGCTCTTTTGCATACAGAGAAAATAAAAAAAAAAATAAATTTTCAAAAGCTTTTTTTATTGCATATTGTAAAGCTATGCAAAAGCTGCTCCACATTCATGATTTTAAATGGAGTGCTGAGCAGAAGAAATACCCCCTCTTGACAGAAGTGCCACTATGAGCTGAATGTTCAAGGTGGAAAACTAGCCCTTTTGAAAAATAAAACCAGCAGCTTCCCCAGCACCTAAACTGGGGGAGTGAATATTCACCTCTTCAGCATTTATTTAAAAAGCTAAACCCCAAGGCTGTGCATTTTAATGTGTTCTATTTCTTTAGAAAAGAGAGAAAAACAGGTGAATCGGCCTTTGCTGTGAGTGAAAACCTGCTATGAGATGTGGGTGCTGGTTGGAAAAAGAAAAGTAGGAGCATTTCCTTCTAGACACCTTCTGAGGATGGAAGTCATTTGTAAACACTGAAAAAGGCTGGCCATTTTATGAGCTCTCTTTCACATGCTAGGAACAATATAAAAATTCCAGTTGTGAGAAAGAGTCCAAATGCAATGATTTTCCATGAAGATGGTTACGCATTGAACAGTCAGATTTGCCAGAAAAGTGTGGGTAGTGTTACATTTCAGAAGGGTTCTGGTGCAGCTCCCCAGACATCATGTTGTGTTACATAGGCCTCATCTTCTTGAGTTTGCAAATCCAGCAGAAGTGGAGAAGGCACTAGCAATCAGCATCTGATGGCTAAACCCATAATTTAACATGAGCTTAAACACAGTTTTCATTATTACGTTTCATTGTGTCTAATGAAAATTTAAGCATGTACTTAAATTCCAGAATTGTGATGTTTTTAGCTCAATGGTGACTAAAGAAGTGACAGTGAAAACAATGAGTAAAATTTCCAAAGCATTTATAATTGACACAGCAGCAGACACAAGCTTGTCTTTTTCCATCATGTATGGTAACTTGGTATCTTATGTGATATGACACCAAAAAAACTATTTTTTAATATACATTTGACAAAGAGCATTCGATTTCTTTTTTTTGTGAAAAGCTAGTATTACAGCTTCTTATCCACAATAACCCATTCTGAATTACTGAGGTTCTTTTGGCAGTTGGTGTAGTTAAATCTGAAGGTGCCATTGGTTGCAGTGAGTTATGTGTACTTTTTTGGCAATGACATTTCAATAGCAAAACATCAATATTCAATTTGGAGTTAGCAGTAAGTCACTGCCAGTGAGAACAGACTAATACGCCTTTATGGTGATCATCCTGTGTTGTGTAATGAGATGTTTTTAATCAGCCAAAAGGGTAGGTTCAGAGTTACAATTTGATTATTCTATTTTTAAACAGGTTTGGAGAATTATTGTGAAGTAAATTCCCTTTCATTCTGTCTTTTGTCTTCTTTCTGAAAAGATTTATTACCACCTTTTTAATTTGTTTTCCTAGAATTCATGTTGTGATTTTGGAATGCATAGTGCATCACATTTGTGGATTTGTGTGAGCTGATGCTGTGGAAGTTTTGTCTGTACTTTTGATTGATACTATGGTACCAACAAAAACCTTTCCAAGACCCTGAGGAGTTTTCAGGTGTCACAAGAATGTTTATTTCTTTATTAATATAGATACTACTAATGCTAATGTAAGGTACCATGGCACTATGAGTGTAGTGGCCATTTCTGTTTCAGAAATTAAAAAGAAAAGGAAAGGGAAAAGATATTTCAAACTGTCACCACATACGTGCATACATGCTGTGCTTTTATTTAGGGTACCTGCAGTCAGCAGCCTGTATTCATTCAAATGAGTACAAGCGATATGAAGATTTTCCACAATGTGACATTAGCTGTTGCTGATGGTGTGTTCATGTAGCCATATTAGCTCCATTTCCTTGCCCATGTAGATAACAGTACTTTCAGAACTGTTTTTTTACTAATACACCTACCCTCCGCTTCAGTCTACTGGGTTGTCTGACTTAAATTTCTCGATAAAGTTCAGAAATAAGTTTTGGAGAAGGGGCAATAGACATCCACACTCCAATATAATAGACATTTAAAACTGGTGTACCCCAAACAAGACCTTTATTTGGAGAGATGGGTGGTTCAGTCAGTTAAGACACTTCAGTTTCTTCCCTGCTCTCCCCCAGGCATCTAGTGGTGTTTATATTTGAAGAGGACTAGAATTACCATTTGAAAATTACAAACTTAAGATCAGTAGTCTTTAATTTTAGAAAATAAGAATGACAATCAGAGCTGAACAAATTCTTAAGAGAACAGTCTGCTGGGGAAAAAAAAAAAAAGAAAATGGAAAAATTCAAAAATGAAAAAGGAATTTCCTTATGTGTGGAAATGGCACTAAGTTTTGTTACCCAGCTGATCTGCAGCCACTTCGTGTGTTCTGCAGAAGATAAATATACCTTAAGAAGAAGAAAATGTGTTCTCTCCTTTTAGTAGCAATGGCAATATGCTTTTATTTTCTGTCACAAGCAATGCACCATTTTAGTTTATGTGTCTTCTTTGAAATAATAGATTCAGTCCTTCCTTGACTTTCCTTCCTGCCTTGTTCACACCCCTACTGTGCATCTTTAAATCTTTCTGGTTTGCATTTTCATCATAGCAGCCCTATCTTTGGTATGAAATTTTGCAATGAAAGCTCACCATACTAAAATACGGTGCTTCATTTCCTTATCAGAAGGTATATGAGTAGGAAAAAAAGGAATAACTTTGTATGCTATTACTGCAAATACACTTGAGGTACAGTAGTAATAAAAGGTAAAATGAAACTCTGTCAGGATAGTGTATGCAACTATGCAAAACTGGACCAAGTGGGTTGGCTTATTTTGATGCTGGAAGAAGAATTTCCATTCCAATAAGTGTTTTTCAGTTCATGACTGGCAAAAAAAAGGAACATTTAAAAAATCTGTTATATAACAGCAGCTTGCTGATCTACATATTTCTAATAAATATATAGATGATATATTTTTAACACCTTGATTTCTTTTACATAATCTCTGTTTTTAATACAACTGCAATTTCTGGTGTATTTTGTCAGTACCACTAGAAATCATATGGAAGCATTTGACATGAATGTAAAGACTCATTCTTAAACAAATTTCAGAGCTTTATTGCATACTTGTTTACTGCCTTACTCTGAATAAAATCATCCTCAGACTAGAAGATCGTTCAGGCTCACTATACATTTAAGTTTAATC